GAAAGAAGTATTTGAATGACTGTGGTATTGACATCTGTGGGCCTGCATAGTAATCATTCCTAATAGAAGAGAATATCTGTTTGAGGGGGTTTTGCATGGCTAATTAACCACCAGTGAGAATATGTAATTTTTTCATGATCTCCTGATTGTCACCTTTCTCTCATGATACAATTACATTTTATTGTAGCAAGTACCTCACAAACTGATTGTCAGCACTATTTATGTATTATGGAAGGCAGAACAAAAGTTCATGTTTAATAAAAAGGCACTGGGTTTTGATTTTGGTAATTACAGCTACTTATTTTAGGAATTGTATTGACTTACCTGGTTTTATAACTTTTTTTTCTTTTTACTATACCAAAAGTTATTTCAGTGACAATATTCTCTTGCTATGAGGGTGACCACTTCATCCTCGCTAATTTGAGAAGCTTTTTTAAAAAAAGTTTAACTATCTTCTGAACAGAATTGAAAGATCGGGTAGCTATTAACTGACTTCCAGCTGATTCTGTTGGATCTCTGGGTCACGAGAGTCTTCGATCTCTTAAGACTCGGGCACTAAATCTATTTTCTTCTTATTGCTTGGCCTAGGATTTGACAGTACACTGGTATAAAAGATGATCCTGAACTTCCAGGCTGTAAAAGCTGCTGTAGCATGTGCTATTTGCAACTGCACAACCCCACTGAAAAATCCATGAATGAGGAGTGTCAGTTATCACCACTCTTATGCTGTAGGACTAAGCAACATTGGTTTTGATGGCCAAGAACAAGATCAGAAAGTGTGTCTGCATATTACTAAACGTCAGCACCCCTAAGTCACCCCTTCTTCCAATATATTTTTAATGTTGAATATCTTGCTTCTTGGAACAGTAAGAAACTAGCACTGCTCCAATGATCCCCTCTTTTTAACATGAGTATGTTTTTGAGCCAGTTCTGCTGCTTATGTGTGCAAGTTTCCTGTAACATTCACTGTAAAACAGCTGCAGGAAAGAAATTTCTAGGGTTCTTCAAAGGACTTAAGGAGTACTTAAACACAAGTAGAGAGAGCAGATAACTGAACTTTTTCTAAATTTATTGCTATTTTTAGAAAATTCATGTTTTCAGTTGTAGTTATTGACTGTGGAGGATATTTGAGGCCCAGTGTGCACTCTGGTGCTACAGCCCTGACAAAGTGTTGGATGACAGGCAGGCGCTTCCCACTGCATCTCTTCATGGCACTGTCTGTAGTTATCCTAGGTCTGACTCTTTTCATCTAGGCTCTCTGCATTCCCTTTCCACCTCTCCTTTTATTCACCAAACACTTCTCCCATTAAAGAGGCAACCTAAGAACAGTGGGAGCCACTACAAACAATCCACTGTCTCCTCACTTATTGCTTATGAGCGGAATCTGACTCCAGATGACCTGTCTGATTCCACCTGTACCACTTTGGTGCACAGGAAAGAGGTGATTTGGGGTTAGTTCCCTTCTGAAGACCAATAAACACCCATAAGTACCAAAAGGGGGTCCTGTAACACCAGCTCCTTGAAGATAATGTAAAGAAGAATTACTGCAGAACATGAAGATGCAGCTCCCTGTATAGTACAAGAATCTGATCTTGACTTAACATAAAGAGTATAACAGTGGCTACATCCTGGTTCTTTGTTACAATTGCATACCAAACATGGGTGATAAAACATTAATTGCATTTATTCTCAAATTTGTTTACCAGTTTTTGGCACTGGATAAATATCAGCTTTTTCACCTGTAGTGAGAGTATCGGCAGCAGGGCCAAATGAAGTACGGTCAAGACCAGCCTACTACTTACTTGCTAGGTTTTTTTAGATCTCATTAAAAAATAATTACATCAATACCAACCTGTATTTTTTATTATTATAGAATACAGTGATTTTTAGGCATTCAGTAAATATTTTCCTAAGTCCTGTTCTGAAAGTGATGTAATTATTGAAGGTGCTTATACACAGGGAATATACCAGAGCTAGCTGTCAAGAAGATGAGCAGTGTGGTGTTGTGATGCAGAGATCAGAACTTGGGCCCCTGCTTTCAGGTGACCATCAGGGCAGTGCTGAGCCTTGCCTATTGAACTCCATTTCTCACGGGTATCTACAGTGTTTTGCCCTGAAGTGAACTGTTTGAAACTAGCTTGAGTTGTTACGCAGAACAGATACACCTTTACCTTTCTAGATGTTAAGTTCCGCAGAGCAAAACTGTGGATTATGTTTTTTAAAGGTGTTTTGGATGAAACAGGACATGAAGTGCCTACTGGCACTTTCAATCTCCTGTATATGTTTAATATGCAATATAAAAAAGCAGCCCATTATTTCTTTTTTAAGCTGTTATATTCAGATACAGCTGCTGCATAGAGCACCATATGCAAACATTACAGTTACAAAGTTATTGGCGTACCAGAAGTACCAAAAGCATGTGGCATACAGCCTGTGTTTTGGCTGTGTTTGTCTTCCAAGTTACAAAAGCCAAAACCAGACATCATTTGATACTTAGTGCATAGCACAGCCCTGCAAAAAACTTGCATTAACTTATGCAACTACTCACCTTGTAGTCTGCATTTACATTTTAGAAGACTGTAAAAGAATGTAAGACTTAACTCTACTTGTTAACAAAGCAAATGGTGACTTAACTAGCATCGCTCCCAATAAAGGTTATTAGTGCATATTTTGAAACATAGAACTCAGGGTTATTTTATAACATAGTCCTCAAATAAAGCACAGGTCTATTTGTACTCTTTGAAAAAGACATTTCTTGATAATGAAAATGCTGAAAAACATTATTTTGAGAAAGATGAAAGTTCACTGTCATTCTCTCTTCTTGGTAGTAAAGATAGAACATTTTTCTGTATGAAAGACTGATTGTTTTTTTACTATACAAAATTGTTCACTGTATGTCAACAGGTTCGCTTACCAAAGCCCCTGCCAAAACCAGTTCGGCAGAGACAAAAAAAGACAGAAGGTGACGAATACACGTGTGAAAACAACGCCTGTACTGGGTTAACAGGCAAACAAGTCCAAGATGAAGAAAAGCCAAGTAAATTAAACAGGATGCTTCACCACACAGAGCCTCAGCAGGTGAGGATTTGGGCACTGCAGTAATGCAAGCTATCTCCTGGGAGTGAGTCCGCTCTGTTTGCTCAGTATCCGCTTTTTGGGATAGGCAAGGAAGGAAATTGCTTGAAAAAAGCCTGGAGTTATGTCACAAACTCTAGAAGTTGGTATGTGTACCAGCTTGTATTAATTCACATTTAAACTGGAGTTTCTCGGACAGCCTGGGTCAGAAGTGCAAACAGGGCACTCTCCTTACCTGTCTCAAACCTGACAGGTTCAAGTATTGGAATGGTACACACTGTGATTTTTAATGTTACTGAATTCTTTCCAGCATGCAGAATTACTGTCTGTACATCAACGGGGTCACTTACTAAAGCCTTCTTCGAAACCAGCACAACAGCAGGAAGTCAAGGTGAGAGAAGAGGAGACTGACTGCCTCAGGAGGCCCCACAGTCGGGTCACACGCCAGCAGTGCCAGGCTCAAGAGAAGCCACTTCAGTGTTACACAACAATTCAGGAGCCTGACCACCCACAAAAGGTGAGGCTTTTGGTGTTACCCTAGAATGTCATGACAGCCTGTGAGAGGAAGATCAGCTGTTCTAAAAATAAGTTTAAAAAGAAGCCCCACAATCCCACATGACCACAAAGCCTAAACTGAATACAGGCAAACTAGATTTTTGCCACAAAAGTCAAAGGTTTGTGTATAGTTCTTTGGTCATATTATTAGCAAAATACTACTTGTTTTTTTCTGTAGTTGGTCATGAGGCACTGCATTTTAAGTACTGCATCAGTGTGCAGAGAAAAGCATTGGGAAATGACAATCTCCCTTTGTCAATCCTGTTGTTTTCTTGGTAGAAACTTACTCCAGTAGTTTCCTTTTCTATGTAGTAGAAAACTTCACAGCACTCTGTAATTAAAAAGTTCTTAAAATCTGACTTTTTAATCTGAGGATTAACTAACTCACTTCAAATATTATTGGTAATTTACTGTATAAAAAGATTGAATGAATGTATTCAGTCTTAGTCTTCAACTGTACTTGAAAAAACTTACGAAAATCAAGGTTTTAGTAAAAATACTGCAGAATACAGTACATCTTGGTAATCACACTGTGCTCCTTTTCTGTGGAGTTAAAGTATATTTTAACAAAGATTCTACCCTGTTTTACTTTCATATAGAAAAACAACTTGTTAAATTAGGACAATTTATAATAAGCAGAGAAATGCAACTTCAAAGATAGCTATATAATTAATCCAAAATTCTTTGCTTCAAGCAGTCTGCTGATCACTGCCTGGAGACTCCAGTACAAGCTAGGAGAGTGAAGCAGAAAAAGCACAGCTGTACCTGAGAACATCAGGCAGTTAAGTGGTGAGCAGAACAACTTTTGGAGATGTTTTGGCTGCTAGAAAGGTAGACAGATTCTGAACTCTCTGGAGCCCTGACACACCCTAACTCAAAGTAACAAATACAACTCTGTAACACACGGATACTCCTATAGCTGTTTCCTAGTCCTCAAATATAGAATTTAAAAGATATTGGAAAAAAAAGGCAGCAAATCTGTCTCTCAAAGCTTCTCCCTCCTTTTAATTTGTTGAAAAGCTACTTTAGTCCTAAGGAAGAAGCAGAGAAGAAAAGAGCCACATTTAAGTTTCCAACATGCCAAAGAAAAAAAATTGAGCTGTTACTCAAACAACTTCCCTGTTACTTGAACGACAAGCACACAGTATGGAGTATAGATCTTGACACTGGAGAGTAACTTGGGGACTTGTGTTTCCCTCCTTTTTGTGGGAGGAAGGGAAAGTACCTTTTAACAGAAATTGGACCAGTCATTGGGCTAGTATGTAATTACATTTGTATTTTGATTTAGTCTTTCTAAAGAAAAAGCCACTGTTCCAATATGATTAATAATACTGCACTTATGTAGAAGAGTTCTGTGGTACCCACTGAACATTATGCCTAAGAGGATAGAATTAAAAGTGGATGTAAGGTCATGTTTAAGATATTCAAATGAGAAACTGAAGAAGGAAGAGGAGGCAGGATTGTATTAATTTCATTTTGCAGACTTCCCCTTACTTCCCCTTTCACTTAATTTAGGAGACTGGTAAAGGAAAGATATATAGGAAGAGTACTGGGGTTATGAAAATTAAGGTTTCTTCAGGCACAAAGGAGGAAGAGAAACAATGGTTCATGCAGGAACTAGAGGGGAGATAGTCTGTCAAGCGTTCCTCCAAGGTCAATTCCAAACACTTCCATTAGGCAACTGCTTGGAGTAGTTAACTGCAGGCACCTCACTGTGCAACACTTGGATGGGATCACCACCCTATTGCCACTAACAGCCAATGCAGTTAAAGGTCTGAGTACAGAACTTGAAGGAAAAGTTCTCGTTCTTCCTGGTTTATCTTTTGGGGAAGTACATTCCGGTAAATGCAACAGAACCAGGGGCAACAGAAGAATGAGTGGGTTGGCTTAGTAAGATACTGCTAGAACCAGTTCAGGTATAAATTAAACTGAGAAACATTTTTGCACCGAAAGAGGAACACCTGACTGAGAAGAGTAGGACAAGAGGGGTAGGATGCTTGTGAGAGATGGGACAACTGACAGCCTGGGAAAGAGCATGAGTAAGACAGAAGTACCACCTAGAAAATAATCCTGAAACAAAAGTTAGAGAAGAAAAAAGCCATGAGCAGCCTTTATGTTGGACATAAACATTTCTATCTGATAGGGCCTATATTTCACTAAAAGAAAACAAACAGATATACTGGCACTAATTAGAAAGAGAAATTAAATAGGGAGACAGGAAATTTCTGCTGGAGAAATACAATTTAGGTTATGAATTTTCACCAAGAAAACTACATTGTTAGGGTTGAAATTAAGTGGGGTGTATTGCCATAAATTAACGTATTGTGAATGGGATCACAGAAAGGAAACAAAAGCTGAAATTTTTTCTAAGGGACAGTGGAAAATATGGTCAAGTCTTAGATACATGACAAACAGAATCGTACTGTTTCAGGATTCCTTTAAGTAATGGAGATCAAAAAGGTAAGCCAAGGATGATACTGCTTCTGAAGACCTAGAAACCTCCCACACCACCCTATCCAAGAAGGACAAACCCCACATTTATATTTACACTATCTGTGATGAATCAGGGGACCTTTAGCTTCACTAGGAAATGGAAAAACATACAATTAAAACACTCAATCAAACTTCAGAGTAATGTCTGGGTTCTCCAGACTAAAACTTTATTAGAAGAAACACTTTAAGGACTTATATAGGACTGTATAACACTATAATGACTTACAAGTGAGTTACAGATACAGAATTTCAGCTGTTGACTGCAGTAATAAATATAGTCTATGTCTCTTTAGAAGGAGTAATCATACCTAGTGTTACACTTAATATACAGTATACTTGCAAATTCTGAGTTAAGACTTTGTAAGAATTGCATTGCTTTCTTTAGGATAACTTAAATACGTAGATGACATCTTTGTCTTATTAATATCTCACTTATTCAATATTGAGTTTATTATTACTATTGTTTTTTCCTGCAGAAAGACACTGCAAGAGAATTACCACCATTCAACCCCCAAGTGATACTCTCAGAATGCAAAAAGAAACATGATCAACTCATAACCACAGACCATTCAGCGTCACTGCAAGAAACTGGTTCTGACATCACTACGCCTTCTCTATCTATTATATTTCAGCTTGTGTTTACTGACAAAACATACCACTACAGTATAGCTATACTTGTACTTCTGCTTCTAATATTACTTTCCTTGTATTTTCTTTGATGTCGCTATTTCCATGTCTTCAGTCAAAAAGTGCAGCAGTGTTCCCATCACAGTTTTTTCTCAGAGTTTCTTCAGTGAAGATTTCAGCGTAAGTGGCTTGGAAAAGATTTTTTTAAATGCTGTCAATACATATATTTAAAGGCAAGTTCTCTTAACCTCTTCACGACTGTACTCAGCAGTTACATGTACACAAAACTATTTGTACAAGGCTGTCTTGTGTCACCAATGTTGGGATTTATTATTTTTTTTAAACTGGAACTTTGCTACAGCAATATTAAAAAAGTATAATAAAGTACAATGAGGTGTCATATCTAATTATTCCAGCACTACTATGTTGATGACTGGTTTGTAACATCTTTATACAGGTTCAGAAAATGTTTATTTAAATACTGATGGATTAAGTCGATGGGAATTTACAATTTTCTTCTCTTTATTCCAGTGTGTAAAGGGAAGATAGTAGCCACAAACTCCTTATTTTAAAATAGACTTTGTTACAGTTTTTGCGTTTATCTAAGCTGCCACACACTGGTTAGTCCAATCACTCATTTTCATTGGATTTCCTTACCTTATTACAATATGGACATTCACCAAAGATGACATTAAAACTCTGTCTGCTGGAAGGAAGACTTTGTAGCCACTGCAACACAAGAAAGTGGATTAAAATTCACATTTGTTTCATATCAAATTTAAGCGTGATCTATTAGCAGGAGTCTTTTCAGAGTGCATTTGATCAACATCTGACATGGTGTGTCTCAGGTCAGAGCCTGTGCAAGCACACAGTGACACAGATTCCTTTCCACAGGGAGTTTATTTAGGAATTGCAGGTTAGAAGACATGAGGAAGCACAGTGACTATTGTCAAAAGGATTTTGCTTCATCTGAAATGTAAGTGGGCAACACTTCTTTTCTAGAATCTGTCAGTTAGTGAGGAAGTCTGTCCCACTAATTACTTTACCTCATAGAGGCAAGCCTGGTGAAAAGGTTGTCCACAGCGCGGATCATCGCACACTTGATCTGGAGTAGCGCCATTGAGGCGATAGGCATAGCAGATCCCACAGTCCTTAGCAAAATCCTTGAAACACAACATGTGTTAGCTTAGAGTGCAACTGCAAGGAGGAAACAGGGCTGGTAAACACGTTCATCTCTTTGTCTTTGCTTTTTTCTGTTTTTGTTACTTAGAATTACTAAATGTTTTTGCCTTCAATAAATACATTTGCACCACTCTGGTATGAAGAGTGAGCTTATTGCCCAGATGCACAAGACTCTGCAAGGTTGTATTTTATCCTTTCACTGAATTAGGTCTAGTTTGACAACCATTTTCGTATTCTTGGGCCCCACTGTTTCTTTTTTATTACACAATTTTTTGTCATCGCATTGGGACATCAGACACAAGACCCCACAGTCAGATACTAATTTAAAAACTTCACAAGTGAAAGCAAAGCTGGTAATCCAGTGTTACAGCATTGTCAAAAATTAATTCCAAGTTTGTTTGAAATGCAGCAGTATTTGTACGGCCTCTTGTCCCCTCTAAGCAGCTCTACCTAATTAGAACTTAAGTCATCAACATCCATAACAGAATGTTTGCATTTTCCACATCTCATTAAAAATCTTTCCCTTTTAATAGCAAAGCCTGTTATTAATCGCCTTACTGCTATGAAGGCCACAGGAAAGTGTGCACCTCTAATCAAAGGTTAACAAGCTCTGACAATTGTTGCTTGAAGTTCAGAAGTCCCTATGACAATATATTAATCCAATTACCTCTCTTCTAAGTCTCTTGTTTTTGCTGGCAGTTATAAAGTGACCGCTCAAATTTTACTTACTGAGAAATAACAACTGATCATTAACAAAAAGCAACTTACACTTTTTTCTAACACAGAACAAGATGGAAAATCAATTTCTAAGAGGTCTTTCAAGTTTTGTAATAAACCAATTTCTGCATCCCTGCAGGTGGGAGAGAGGGAAAAAAAAGTCAACACTAGGAATGGCAAATACCATTTAAGTTTCAAACTTGTATTACTAAAGATGCTTACCATGAGTGCATGTTGTTGTTCAGCTTAATTCTCAAAGGGTTAACCACTGCAAACAATGGGCATAAATAATTACATCATCTTTAGGAGCCTCTTTACTCCCCCACCCAATCTGACCTCATATTTCAGCATTGAAGGCTGAAGGCAGGGATTGTGTTTTTTAAAATTATTCAAAGTACCTCAGTCAGCGACGGCTCTTAGCTTTTAGGTTTTAAAATTCATTAATACTAAAATATACTGTTGAAGATTTGATCTTATTTACCTTAAAAAGTTGGTAAACAGCTGTGGGACATGGAGTAAAAGACTTTACTATATATGTCCTTAGTGTTTGGAAAGATTTAAGTTTTAATTAAAAAAAAAAAGTATGCCAAATATAAACACAATTGGGTTCTCTCTAAACTGTGCAAGAGAGGTACTGGAAAAAAGCATCCCTCACAGAGCAAACCAGCATGCCATGGATTTAGGCTGTTATAAACCCCAAGATCTACTGTGCAAAACTCCACTGCACACATACTCGGGCAGATCTGGGAA